GCGCCCCGTGGCACGCGACGGTGCCCTAAACCTGCCCGTCGTGCGCCCCGTGGCACGCGACGGTGCCCTGCTCGTCGTGCGCCCCGAGGCACACGACGGTGCCCTTACCTTAAACTTACCTGTCGTGCGCCCCGTGGCACACGACGCGCCTCTCCGCACCTGCTCTCACTGCAGCCGCCCCTGACCTACCTGCGCCGACACATTGTAGCCGCTCTGCGGCTTTCTTCCCGCCCACCCCCTCCTCCTTTGTCTCCCTGCAGCCGTGGGGGGGAGGGTATGGGGGTGGCGGGTGTTGGAGCGTTGGGTCGTATCCTTCCCTTCCCCTCCTCCTCCTTTCGTTCCCACTGCTGCAGCTGCCGCTGGGGGGGAGGGTGTGAGGGTGTGGGGGAGACGGGGGAGTGGCACCGGGGTGGCGGGTGTGAGGCAACCAGCAGCCGTCCCTCCACCTCTCCTCTCTTCCCCCCCCTCTCTGCTGCTCCTGCAGCAGTGTGGGGGAAGGGAAGGAGGAGGGTGAGGAGATGGAGGGGGTGACCAGCTAGTGTTAGCCCGCCTGCAGTACCTGCTGTTGCTTGTTTATTATTTTGCATGTGTACCCCTGCAGGTTGTATTCTGCACAAACTCCTGATGCAGGCAGTTATGGGGGAGTGTCAGAACTTATATTTGTAACTGCCTGTAGCTGTAGTTAGTGTAGTTATTATAAACTTTGTTTGGTGGTGCACCTTATTTGTTTCCTTTGCTATATGTTCTTCGAAACCTATAGTGAAACCATCCTTTCCAACTTTCTCGCCTCTCACCCTAGGCACAAACTACTCGACATCCTAGTTGGGCCTAGGCTCCTAAGCCTAGGCCCTAGTTAAACTTGATCTCCTTCCTACTATTTTCTCACATTCGACCTCTTCGTACAACATTTCCCGAGATCCTGTGCATGTCATACGCTGACGACACTTATCTTCTCGGCCCTCCCCACCGCCTAGTCACAGCATTCACCACCTTACAACAGAATTTCAGCGGCCTAGGCCTCATAGTACAGCCAGCCAAATGCCAAGCTTGGGCCCCACAGGGCTGGCCAGAGACTCTTCAGCTCCCTCCAGGCATCACCATGCAAGAAAATGGCATTACAGTCGCACGCATTCCGATAGGGGAGCCCGATTATGTCACCAAACAAGTCAAACAACGCCTTGCTTCCCTTCGATCAGTAGCACCATGGCTTTCTCGACTAGAAAACCCACAGATAGCTGCCCATTTGCTAGCAGTCTGTATTTCAGCCAAGCCCTCCTACCTCTTACGCACAGTACCACCCACGGACGATATACTTGAACAGTACAGCGACTGGGACGACCACCTTCTCGACACTCTTATCTCCCTTTTCCCTCCTAACTGCTGGAACCTAGATACCACTGAGGGACAGTTCGCGAGACAACAGGCGTTTCTCCCAATTCGCATGGGAGGTTTCGGTTTGCGCAGCGCAAAACAACACGCGTCTCTTAGTTACATTTGCAGCTGGGCACAAGCCATACCCGTGCTCGCATCAAACTGCAAGGTCGACGGAGACAATTTTCTGTGCCCTTTCATCGCATCCGACAACCTAGAACACTTAGATTCTGTAGCACCTCGCGCTCTTGCTTCTCTCCCGACCGATCTACGACATTTAGTTCCACCATGGTCTGCTTTCCTAGCTGGTTACCCTAACCACCTTTTCTCAGCCCTAGCCCAGCGTATCTCAGCACGTGCAGCCGAACAGCTACGTTCAGCGGCAAGCAAACGCCACCAGTTGGTCCGTTTAACCTCCCTTCAGGATCCACCAGCCGGCGCCTGGCTCACCGCTGTACCCTCCACACCTCGCTCACAACTCGACACATCAGACTGGCTCATAGCTGCGGAGATACGTTTAGGACTACCCATTCCCCACCTCCGCCTCCTTGAATCCGCAGCACCATGCTCCTGCGGACATCAGTACTCTGACCCTACTCTCCCAAGCCATGCCCTTCGCTGCCCCGACCTACATGAGCCCACTCGAGTTCATGACGCTGTCAAACACGAGATCGCCAGGATAGCACGTGAAGTAGGATTTACGGTTCGTGTTGAAGACCCTACCTTACTACCCGACCATATTGTGGATGTCAGCTGTCTTGACCCATGTGCAGGCATCAAATGGGCTCTTGACATCTCAATCATAGACCCACAGCAGCAGAGGGCACCGGCAATGGCAACCCACACCATTGGTCTTTCAGCCAAACAGAGAGAATCAGAGAAGCGACACGCCTATGCTCGTTCTCTTCACGACCGACCTGCAGTCAAACTCCTGCCTCTAACACTGGAAACTTTTGGTTGCCTCGGACCGACCTTCAAGACCTTCCTTCGTGACTGTAGCCGTCGTGCAACCGCTCGACGCGTGGACCGTGGTGCAGCAAATACCCTTCTTACAGGAGCATTCGAGACGTCATTTCTCCTACGCATATCGATGGCGTTGCAGCGTGCCCAAGCTAGATCCATTCTTCACAGGGTAGAAACAGCCTTCCCATCCTCCTCTGACTCCACCTCCACAGAGGACCCCTCTTTCTCCGACTTCCCGGCCTTCAACAATGACATCCCCGACCTCGCGTACCTCTTCAACCCCCTTGCGTGAGGGGGTCGGTATATAAACGGAGTGATATAATTTAGTACAGACGTTGAGGTATATGAGTATACTTCTACTTAGTTTCGAGCTAGTATCTTTTTTATGTGCTTTTACATACATCTATCTCTCTTAGATTCACTCTCCCTTGCAAATCATATATATGTACATCTTGTATATATAAACTCTGTAAATAAAGAATGGTAAGTATGGTTACTTCGAATGATGAGGTCTAGGGAATGAATCCCCGTATCGGAGAATAGACATTAAGTTCACGGTTCTTGTGGTCCGGTATAAGGGTGTTTTGCACGGCACCCTTTCTGTACAGGATGAATGCTTTGAAACACTGATTTTCGAAGGGTAAAAAAAAACGTACACTTTTGAAGAAAGGGGAGTACGAAAAACACGGGCAATCTCTGAAAAGCGGCCCATAGTAAGGGCAATCAGGGCATTTTACCCTTCAATTTTGGGCCCTGGACTAAACGGGCTTAAAAGCCTCCAGGTGATTGGAACAAAGGCCGAAGATGTGGCAGGCTTAATTAGGGACAATTTTCCTGGAATGGTGGTTACAAAAGATCCTCTCATATGATTAGCATACGGTACCGTATCACCCCGGATAGAAGCGCAGGCCTATGATAAGCGCGTGCGCTTCTATCTGGAGCAATGCGCTTATGGCCGATCCTCAATTATAAGCGCACCCCCTGTGAAAAAATTACTTTTTATAAGCGCACGTACAATTTGAAATCAAAATCTCTGTTTAAAACTTTAGCGAGTTTCAATTTCGAAGCGAGTACAATCTCATTTTCGCCTAGCTTGACTCTCGAAGACCTGACTGGCTGCGCGTCCAGTCAGGATGTGCTGGCATGACTGCAAAGTGTCGCATCTTGGCCCCTCTGTGCTGGAAGAGAATCGCTTGCATGCGATTCTGCTTTGTGACGGAAAAAAAAAACGACTCGGTTGAAATGGCAAGAGTGAAATATACAATTTGGTGTCTTAAAATTACAATTCAATGTCATAATATAAGCGCATGCGCTTATACAAATGACTCAATTACAAGCGCACCCCCCTAAAAAACACTGTTCTATTATAAGCGCACCTGCGCTTTTATCCGGGGTGATACGGTATGCCTTTTGCTCGATGTTTGGTGGTACCTACCGGTATCTCAATTGAATGTATTGAATGTATGCCATGCTAGTAAGTCCTTTTGCAGTTACCTTTAATCCCCCAAATAGGAAGAAGGCCGCCCAAACTAGACTTCATTAGAGGTCCCCATGATCAAGACCCCTCTTTATTTTTACCCTAACAAAAACTCATGACAGCTACAACAATTTGTTTGGCCTGAACGCAGCAGTGCTAAATCGGAGCACGCCAAGCGCGGTGCGATCTGTGAAACCAAATTTGCAGCATTCAGTTGGGACGCTCACGTGGCTAGCTTGGAGTGGTTGTGGAGTTGGGGAGTCCTCTAGCTGCAAATCGGCTTCCCGAACCAGCACTTACCGCGATTTTGCTGGAGAGAAGTCGGAAGGAAAATGATACAGTACATGCGATTCATTTGAAGCAGTTATTATCTGGCGGATTGGGCCCGTCATGTGAACTGTATCCATTCATACTGCCACCCATGTTGTCTCCAGCTTCGATGGTCAGAAATGTTTTTGCGGGCATCACCCTGACCATCACACCTTTTACTCGTCATCTGCCCGCATCTGCGGGTGTGGTGGGCGCTTCCCGTCACAACAGCCACGACAGGCGGTGTGGCGACATTTCAGCCACCAATACGACAGAAATCAAGCCAGCAAGCGAAGCGACTGATCAAGCAAGCGAAGGGGGCAGCAAGCAAGAGTCCCAGCGGCACATCGATGCGAGCAGTGGTTTGTGTACTTCGTGAGTGAGACACAGCAGGTCTCGATCGATAGATAACTAAATTAATCGTGTGCTTGTATCGCTAACACCGCATCTGGCGACGATCATCAGCCGCCCGTTCGACATTCCCTTCCTACGCATCCGCATTGCGCCGCCGCGCAATGGCGTCTATAATCAAGTCCTATCTCGCAGCGTACAACCTCGCGCAAGCCCTTGGATGGTACGTACAGGGGATAGAGGAAGCTCAGGCGCACACACGACCCAAATGCTCAGCCTGTCGACACGTAAAATACAACCTTCTCGTGGAAGCACTCTCTCACAATATCACACTGTCACAGTAGCCCCTTCGCTGCTCGTCATTCCCCTCCCTTTCGCCTGTTTCCTCTAACATTTCCTTTCGCCACTTCCAGCTTTCCTAATCTCATTTGTCTTTTTCCCGTCGCTCGTCTGCCCCACCAATTGCTTCCGCGGTTTCTCCTTCCCACGATTCGCTGCCCCCGCGTCCGCGCTTTCCGCGTGCGTGCAGGACCGTGGCTCTCGTGCTGCTGCTGCACGATGCCATCGTATCGTGGTCCGTCACTAACGCGTACGCTGTCGCGGGCCCAATCGTCGGTGAGCCGCCAACTTCACCATATTCCTCTCCGTGTGTCATGCGCTACACACCATACCCTACGCGCCACGCACCTCACGCGCCACGCACCCTACGCACCACGCGCCACACGCCATTGTATGCGCAGTTTTTTCGCAGCATGAGATAGCCTTGTAGTACTGCGCGTTGCGACATGCCTCACACTCGCGCGTGCGTTGCTCCCGCGGCGTGTCGCGTTAGTGTCCAATCCGCCGTGTCGCCGCGTTCGGCGGGCAGGTGCCGTGACGTGGAAGCAGCGCTCAGCGCCCTTGTGAAGATAAGCCACTGTCGCGTTTCACCAACTCGCAACTTGCAACGCCTCCTCGTTTTCCTCCCCTCCCTCTTTCGGTTCATCCTCCTCCTCCTCCTCCTCCTCCTCCTCCTCCTCCTCCTCCTCCTCCTCCTCCTCCTCCTCCTCCTCCTCCTCCTCCTCCTCCTCCTCCTCCTCCCCCCCCCTCACTCCTCCTATCTACCTTCCTATCCTCTCCTCCTCACCGGTTTTCTCCTCTCCCCTCCTATTTTCTTCCTCCGTCCTCTCCTCGCTTCTCCACCCCTTCCCCCGCCGCCCGCCCATCAGGCTATTGTCAGCTGGCGTCAGTACTGGAGGTGGTGCACGCCGCCACAGGTGCGAAGGGGGAATGCCGTGTGTGTGCCACGGATTGTTCTTCCTAGCAAGCACGGATACGGTAGGCGGGGCAGGGATGCAAAGCCAGTAGTGTTGCTGATTTTTCCAAGTAGCAGGGCTGGAAGCAGGGCTGTCTCAGTGCGTGCGTGCCGTTCACCGACATGCCACGCACTCCCGCCTCTCCCATCCTCCCCCCTGGCGACAAGCTGCCTCTCCAACTCCTCCCTTCTTCCCGTCCCCTCCCGCGCTCCTCTCGCCCGCCACCCGCCAGGGCTGGTGCACAGCGGCGTGCTGACCGCCGCCATGCAGTGGAGCGGCCGCTCCCACGTGCTCTTCACCGTGCTCGGCCGCCTGGCACAGGTGAGGCACTGTGAGACGCGGTTAGAGAACCCAGGGGCAGGCAGGCAAGGCCATCCATCCATCCATCCATCCATCCCCTGAAGGAGTGAAGGAGCGTGGAGCGGCCGCTCCCTCGTGCTCTTTTCGCCGCCTTCACAGTGCTGGGCCGCCTGCCGCTGGTGCCAGTCGCGACACCGTGGGCGTGGCTGAAACCGGGGGTGGGTTGGGTTCGTTGGGAGAGAGGAAGGGATCGTTGCGGCCCGGGCGAACTCTTGTGCTTGGCCCTGTCAAGGGACGCTTGCATGGCGTTGGCAAACAGACGGAGCTAGGATAGGATGCGCATTGCTTTGCTTGCCGGAGAGGAGACGCATGATGGCCGACGACGACACGGCCACTGAGCCCACCGACCGTGCGTACAGTTACAGGGGCTATGATGACCTCTCTCACCCAGGACAGGACAGGACCATTCCAGCAAGGTACCTGGCAGACTGATGGTGTCAGGTCAGGCACAATCGTGACCCAAGATGCTTACCCTGCATCGTAGCCATGTAGACGTCCGAAGGAGGGTGGGAGGTGTGGGGAGTGGAGGAAAGACGGTTGGCCTAAGTGGGAGGGGCGTGCTGGGCCAACTGTTGCAGGCGAGAAGCAGTGCTGCTCTTTGAATAAGTGCGAGGGGCGATTCCATGCACGTGTGTGTGTGTGTGTGTGTGTGTGTGTGTGTGTGTGTGTGTGTGTGTGTGTGTGTGTGTGCGTGCGGGTGTGCATGTGGGGGAAGTGAAGTGGTATGGGGCAAACTGCTGAGCCCACTGCCGCAGTCCGCTGCCCTGACTAGACTGCCCGGGCTGACTGTAACTGGACTGCCTGCGTTGGCTTGGCTGGGTTGGCCGCGCTGACTGGGTTGACTACGTTGACTGTGCAGCGGGTAAGCTGCCTTGGCACAGAGCGTTTGGCACAAAGAAGGGAGCATTGTCTACTACATTCTCGCCATCGGAGGATAGTCCTCCCTCCCATGCTGCATTCCTCCCCCATTTTCCTTCCTCGCCCTGACTCCCTCCTTACTTTCACCTGCTATCTCTTTCCATCTCCTTCCATCTCCCTACCTTTCCCTCCCTCTCCCTCTCCCTCTCCCTCTCCCTCTCCCTCTCTCCTCCTCTCCTTCCCTCCTCCCCACCCGTCCTCGTCCCTCCGTCCCCACGTGCTGCGCGCATCAGATACAGCAGCAAGCGTCGGTCTTCATTCTCCTGCTCACCTGGTCGCTCTCCGAGGTATGCCCCTCCTCGCCCGCCCACCAGCTCTCGCCATTCCTGTGAAGCGTGGGGATAGTATGGTATGTAGGGCAGCGAGGTGCATGGGGCAGGCAAGCCGCAAGGGCACATGGATGGAGTATTCCATGGAGTACTCCTGTAGGACGTGTACTATTCTCTGGTCACACTCCTGGTCAGGTCACACTCCTGTAGCCCTGAGGTTCTTCCCCACAGGGCGGGCGTGGCCGTCCGTTTATCACCCTCCTACCCATCCACCTCCGCTCCTACACCCCTCGCCTTTAACCCACCTCATCTCCTACCCCACTCCCTCCCTACCCATCTCCCTTCCTACCCGCCCCCCCCCTCCTTCACCTCCTCTCCCCCCGTGCAGGTGATCCGCTACCCCCAGTACGCCTTCTCGCTGCTCGGCTGCTGCCCCGAGTGGCTCACGTGGCTCAGGTGAGCTGCACTGCACTCTCCCCTTGGCTCCCCTTGTGAGGGGAATCACCACCTCACAAGTTTGCTTGGCTGCTGCTACGCTGAGTTGCTCACGTGGCTCAGGTGAGGTGCGCCCTGCTCTGCCCTCTCCTCGCCGCCACCGCGCATCGCATCCCCCTGCTTCCGTTGTTTGTGTGTGGGTGTGGGTGTGGGTGTGGGTGTGGGTGTGGGTGTGGGTGTGGGTATGGGAGTGGGTGTGTGTGTGGGTGTGTCTGTGGGTGTGGGTGTGGGTGTGTGTGTGGGTGTGTGTGTGGGTGTGCATGTGCGCGTGTGTGGGTGTGTGTGCATGTGTGTGTTGCTGTGTATGTGTGTGTGTGTGATTTCGTGTGAGTGTGAGTGTGTGTGGGTGTGTGTGTGTGTCAGTGTGAGTGTGCGTGCGTGTTTGTATGAGTGTGAGTGTGTGCGAATGTGCGTTGTGAGTGTGTGCGTTAGAGGGGGTTGGTCCCCCCTTTGCTGTGAAGTTGGCGTGCAGTGCTGTTGCATTGGCGAGGTGCAGGCTGGCTCTTGCAGGTGGTTTGGGAAAAGAAACGCATGCATAAACAGAGAGGCATAACCGGGAGGGAAGGAACCACAGGGATCGAACAGTAGGGGCTGAAGAGGCATGATGGAGGAGAGTACAGCATGCCATGGCAGCATGTTTGGTGCCCTCACCACACCCAGTCACCTCCCAACACACACACACACACACACACACTTCACACCCGCTTCCCCCTCGCCATTGCACCTTCTGCCCTCTAGCTTCTCTAGCGATTCTCACTCTACTCCCCCACTCCAGCACTCCCTTGTCCCCCCTCCACACGCACACACACTTCATCCATTTCTCTTTTAACCAATCCCCCCCACCCCTCACATCACCCTCGCCTTTCCTTGGCGCCACCTGCACATGCCTCGCCTGACATGCATGCAGGTACACGGCGTTCATCCCGCTCTATCCCATTGGCATCTTCGCAGGGGAGAGTGAGTAGAGCAACGCTATGCGCCTCCCCTCCCCTCCATCCATACATCCACCCGTCTGTACTTCTACACAACGTCGTGCTTTTGAGGCGCCTCAAACGCCATCCATCCATCCATCCATCCATCCATCCATCCATCCATCCATCCATCCATCCATCCATCCATCCATCCATCCATCCATCCATCCATCCATCCATCCATCCATCCATCCATCCATCCATCCATCCATCCATCCATCCATCCATCCATCCATCCATCCATCCATCCATCCATCCATCCATCCATCCATCCATCCATCCATCCATCTATCCATCCTGCTGCCTTACTTCCACAGCATCGTGCCGCTCTCCCTCTCGCCCTCCTTGTTTCCCTTGCCACTCTCTACCCCCTCCTTTTTTCTCGTTTCTCTTCTCGCTTCCCTTCTGCCTGTTCCTCCCTTCCACTCTGCAAGTCTGCTAAGTCCTTTTCTCTCCCTCGTGCCATCAGCACAGGAGCCCTACTCTCTATCCCTCACACTTCGTCCTCTTCTCCAACACCATACTCTCAACACACTTGTTTTTCCCTTCCGTGCGCACATTACTTGTCCCCTTTCTCTGCCAAACACTCCCAAACGTTCCCATTACACCCATTCCAAATCGCCCGTCTTGAACCAACCCACCCTCTCACCATCACCCCCATTGCTCCCTTGCAACTGCCCTGCCCATTCTTCCCCCCAGTCGCACTCATGTACAGCTCGCTGCCATTCATTCGCCCTGAGAATCCCTTCCAGCACATCTCCGGCTACCTTCATGCCATCAGCACAGGAACCTCACTCTGTATCCCTCGCACTCCTTCCAACTGCCCCTCTTCCACCCCCCCACCTCCCAGTCGCACTCATGTACAGCGCGCTGCCGTTCATTCGCCCTGAGAAGCCCTTTCAGCACATCTTCGGCTACCTTCCCTTTGAGTACTACCACTTCGTTGTTGTGAGTTGCCTTGCCCCCACCACTCCCCTGCTCACCGCCTGCTTACCTCTGCCCACCGCGCTCATCTCAGCTAAATCGCCGCGCAAATTCACTGCGCCAAGGACTGCTGCTGTGCCTCCCATTCCTGTGTATCCCATTCTATTCCCATCCCCCACCTTCCATTCCCCACCTTCCATTCCCCACCCACCTTCCAACCCCCACCCTCTTTACCGCACACGCCAGGGCCTGCTGCTGTGCTACCCGTTTCTGTGGATGCACCTGTACCGCCACATGTTCCGCCAGCGACGCAAGAAGCTCAGCGGGGGCAAGCGCACGGGCAAAAGCAAGGAGGAGAAGGGCAAGGGGAAGGTGGAGTGAGGAGCAGGCGAGTCCTGTGGGAGTGATTTAAGTTGGCACGGATGCTGCATGCTGCTGTGATCTTCTATGCATGTGCGTGCAGTTATTTGCAGCATGCATTGCATTAATCTCCGTGTCCCGCGGTTCGCCATGTCGAGAACCAAGCGCTCTCAACAGTGACAAAAGGAGAGGAAGCAGTGGAGAAGGTATTATGCGGAGTTGGGGGGGAAGGGGCTGCGGGTAATGCAAGGCCGAGTCACGTGTCTATGGGGGGAAGGGTGCTTCTCCCACGACTCTTAGCGCTCTTCATGGGTTGCTGAGCTGTTGTGTAGTAAAGGAGGAGCAGTGGCGGAGTAAGGGGCACTGCCCAGAGAATGTATTTAATTATTGGTGGAGCAGGTGTACTGCTTGATATTTTAGGGGAGATGACTGTTCAGCTTTAGCTGTAAACATCCGCAGGGCCTTGAGTACCGTTGTATTTCGTGTAGAGTAGAACACTCATCCAATAAATGGGTTTATCACATTACATTCATGTAATGTACAGGATACACCTATCTACACAAATGATGGGTCAGCATTACTACCCTGTGGCACTGGTGCGTAATGTATAGTGTAAAAATATATCATAGCACTGTCTGGAAGTGTTCTGTTGTGTGTCCTCTGCACCATCCTTCACCATGTCCTCTGTTTGGATCAACACAATGCCCATCACCATCACCACCACCATCACCACTGGTTCACCCGCGCCTCTCTGGTCCTCTGCTGCTCCTCCCTCTCCATCTGCTCCACCGCTGCTGCCCTGCCCCTGCCCCTCAACAACCTCCTGCCCAGCCTCTCCCTTACACCCTCCTTCCTCTTCAGCATACCTGCTAACGTCTCTCCCCCCACTCCCCCCACTCCCCCCACTCCCACTCCCTCTTCCCTTCCCCAACCACCCGCCCCTGCTCCTTCACTGTAACCATCACTCTCGCCAACAGCGAAACCACCACCACCACCACCATTAAGACCCATGACGATCCCAATACCTCCCCCACTCAACACTCCCCTCTGCTCGTTCCCAGGCCTACCATCACATGCACCTTCCTCACCACCTCCTCCTCCCCTCTCCCCACTCACCACCTCCCCTCCCTTACCGCGCACCTCTGCAGCCATCAACACCGCGTCGTTGTGAGCGCGGATACGTGCACCCACCCCACCTCTCTCCCCGCCCCTGCCCCCCCCCGCCTGTTCCCCTCGGCCCACCCGCGCCCCCCTCCACTGCCCCTCACCCCCAGCAGCAGCACCACCACCCCGTGCCACCCCGACCGCACCGCCCTGCTCCTCTTCCCCTGCTGCACCACCCAACCCAGCCTGCCCATGCTGCATAGCAGAACCACCCGAGCAAGTCAACTTCTGTGCATCCTCCTTCCCCAGCAGAGCAGCTCGCTGCTTCAGGCTAGCTGCCACTCGCAGCACCAACCCGCGCCTCTCCACCCCCAACCTCCTGGAACCATCTGCGCCACCCCCACTGGCCGCACTGGCTCTCTCACTCACGACGCTACTCCCGTGCCCTCCTTGCACTGCTCTCTCGCCTCCTCTCTCGCGCCCTCTCTCGCCTCCCCTATCCCCTCCGTACCAATCCAGAGACCCCAGCTCTCTGCTGCTCCTTCTCTCCTCCTGCATGCCCTCTTTGCTCCCTTCCGCCCCTGTGCCTTGCTTTTCCCTGTCCCCACTACCAGCAGCAGCAGCAGCACAAGCACCAGCAACAGCACCAGATACAGCAGCAACAATAGGACCAGCAGCAGCAGCACCGGTTCCATCCAGCCCCAGCCCAACATCCCCATCCCACTTCCCACCTCCCCCGTGCCTCCACCCCTGCCTCTCCCTGCGCCTCACATTGCGCACTGCCTGCCTTCCCACCTGTCTCTGCCACGCCTCCCACTCCACCCCATCTGCCCCCCCTACCCCACCTGCGCTCAACCCTCTGTGTGAAATCCCTCCCACTTTCTCACCCGTTGTCCCATTCGCCCCCTCCTCACTCTCTCCACCAGCCCTGCGTGCACGTCCACCGTCGCCACTCTCCCCACTGACTGCCCCAGCCTGTACCCCACCCAATGGCCCACTCGCCACCTCCCTCACTTCCAACTCCTCTCCCTCAACGTCCCCACCATCATCCCCACCATCCCCACCATCCCCACCATCAGACCTTCCCCCGTCATCTCCCTCCCTCTGTCGTTTCACTCCGCTGCACAACATCCTCTCCTCGCCTGGACAACCCCCTTCCCTCCCCTCCTTCCCCTCCCTCTCCTCCTTCCCCTCCCTCTCCTCCTTCCCCTCCCTCTCCTCCTTCCCCTCCCTCTCCTCCTTCCCCTCCCTCCCCCCCTTTTCCTCCCTCTCCCCTCCTCTCCTATCCCCCTCCTCCTTCCCCCTCTCCCTCCCCATCCCCACCCTCCTCCCCGCACTCCCCCGCACCCCCTTAGGAGGCTCATAGTAGCAGACCTGCAGGCCCATGAGCTCGCGCACGCGCTGGGGGGGCAAGCACGCACCATGGTCCACAGGGCCCCAGTGGTTGCTCACGCACAGCCCTCTCTGGTTCGCCAGCATGCCTGCGGCCTCCTCCTCGCCCCACACCACCAGGTGAGACCCCCACGCCAGCACCGGCGCTTGCTGCAGCAGCTGCTGCCGCACAGCCTGCTGCCCCTGCTGCTGCTCTGATGGCTCGGTTTTCTGGTCAGGTTCCGAGGACGCACCTGCTGTTGCTGCTGATGGCGCTCCTGCGGGTGCTGCTGGCGTTGTTGTTGGCGGTGCTAGTGGTGGTGGAGCTGCTGCTGCTGATGGTGCTACCTCATGTGCGAGGTTCTGTCCTTCACCACAACTCCTTTCAATATCCACCTGCTGCTGCTGCTCTTGGTTCAGAACGCCCATATCTTCACCACTCCTCTCTTCCATGGCTCTAGCAAGTTTATCCTCACCACCGCCACCATCCTCCCACTCCACCTCCTCTTCGCCGCTCCCTGCACCCGCTCCCTTCCCCTCCTCCTCTCCTTCTTCCTCTCCATCCCCGCCTCCCTCCCCCTTCACCTCCCACGTCAACCCAACCGCTCTGCACCGCTCCATAACACCCTTCATCTGCGCCCTCAGCCCAATGACCTCTCTCAACATCTCGTCCCTGCACGCCGGGTCAAGCGGGTCAACCCTGGTCAACGCATGCACCCACGCGCCGCTCACACTCAGATACCGCCCCTGCACCACTGCTGCCAGGGCGCACAGAGACTGTATAAGACCACGATCCACACCTCCTCCTTCCCACCCCGCATGTGCTGCCTCCCCCGCCTCCTCCGCCTGTCCTGCCCGCTCCGCCTCCCCCGCCTGTCCTGCCTGGGCGTGTGCTGTGGAGAGGTGGTGGGCAAGGCGTACATGTGCGTGTGAGCCATGGGAGAGCACACGCAGCTCCGCGCGTCCGAATGGCTCACAGTAGGTGTCAGATAAAGGGTCCTGCTCCAACCATTCTTCTTCTTCTCCTCCTGCTCCTCCTCCTCCTCCTCTTGCTCCTGCTCCCGCTGCTTCCCCGCTACCTCCTTTCGTCTTATCTTCCCTGTCTTCTCCTCCTTTCCCTCCGCCTTCCCCTCTCTCTCTCTCTTCTCCTTCCGCCTCTCCCCCTTCCAGTGTCGTGACCCCCTCCTCCAATTCCCGCACAGCTCCCCTCATCTCCTCCCCCAACTCCCCCCACTCCGCCTGCGCCCGTTCGTATCGCGCCAGCTGTCCCGCGTGCACCCGCGCGGCCCTCTCCCGCCGCTGTCTCTCCCGCGCGCTCTCCACCCCCGCGGCCCGCCTCCCCGCACGCCCCCCTGCGGATCCCCCCTGCGGCAGGGGGAGCTTGAGCGTCCCCACCAAGTAGCGCAAAGCCATGCCCAGGGACGGGTAGAAAGCGCCAAAAGCTGCCGCCCAGGCTTGTAGGCACTCAAGTGTGCGCGTGCGGAGGATGGAAGCGCGGGCGGCAGGCGGGGGAAGGGGGGAGGCGGGGTGGATGCCGAGTGTGAGGCGGAGGAAGGGGAGGAGATGCGCGGGGAGGAGCAGGCGGCGGAAAAGCCGCGAGCGCATAAAGAGGTAGTCTATAACGAGGAGCAGCAAAAGGCGGATCTGCGCGTGCTTATTCTCGAGGCGCGTCATGATAACGTCGAATGCGGCGCGCATGCATTCGTCGTCGTATCGCACGAGTCGCTTCAGCTGCGACAGGCTTGCGACATTGAGCGACAGACCCGTCGTTGACGACAGCGCTTCGACGAGCTCTCGTGCGCGGCCCGCAGGGGTTACTGCATCGGAGGACGAATCGGCCTTTGCCGCGCGCCGCGACGAGCGGTTGGCAGACAAGCCGTGGGGGATGGCGCGGCGTAACGCCATGAATGAATCTCGATATAGAAGTCTGTACTACATGTACGGCAGTGTTATACGCGATGGGGATCACATGTACACGAAGAAAACGCTAGCAGCGGTTCGATTCTGTTTCCGCGCTGGAATAGACCGGGCCTGCTCTTGGTCGTGGTTGGATCAGCGGTGATTGTAGCTACTTATGAACAGCTTTATGAAGAGAGCTCTAGCAAATCGAACTAAGGATAGAATGTGAAGGCATATCAAACCAGGAACTCAGCTAAACCAGGTCCGCGCAGCCGACCCGACTCAAAAGTCTCGGGCCCGCCGCCGAACTCGAGGGCGATGTGGCAAGTGTCAGGTAGGTAGGCGGGGCAGCGGTCGACTTCTCGCTAGTGGTGGTCGCTCATCAGTTTGCTAAACAGACCCCAGTTTGCTGCACGCGAAGGCGATGTTTTTAGGCCCCATAGATGCAGCCTCCAAAACTGCTGCCCCATGGCACACCCTTGGCTACTAGCCCCTAGGCTTCAAACCTTCCAACCCCTCCATCTGCCCTTTTGGTCCCTTGGTTGTTGTCTAGTCTTGTCAAACCAACTTTGGCAACTCCCTCTAAAGTGCACACTATGCCTAGCCATATTTAACCCCTTCTTGTCCCTCAACTGAATTCCCACCAATAGCCCCTATTTTCTCTGCTAGTCGTGCTACTTCCCAGCCAGCAGCTGCTGATTCCTCCGTTCTCCTGCTCCATTCGTAGTATTGGTATCTTCATTTGGTCACCTCATTTCTTTGCAGTATACCAAGCTGTATTTTGTACACATTTTCACTAGTAATCTTGGAGAAGCCGTCATACCCAAGCACATGCCCATATCTCATCAGTGAGGCCCAATATACACAAAAAAACGATTACTGATACCTTCCTAACTAGCCTTTGGCCCTACCCACCCCTATCCACCTACCGTACTTGGAATCTATATTTGATCTCATCAAGACTAAGGACGGGTACTAACGGAGCCTTGGGCACGCCCAATTACTGGAGTGTCATCGCCAGGAAGATGAGGTGGTTCAAAGGAGGTGCGCTTTGTGAAGCCAACAACCCCTCCTTCCTGAAAAATGACTCAATAAAAACAAATCAGATGACGAGACATGAGTTCGTGCCAGTGGTCTGGTGGTAGAATAGCACCCTGCCATAAGCGGTGCAGACCCAGGTTTGATTCCCGGCTGGCACAGAACTTTTCCTCTTTGTGAAGTTCCCGATTACCTTGTAGGCCAGTTTCTTCAGGGCGTTGTCATTGTGGTACTTCTCCGACTCCTTCACGATTGTCTGCGGGTCGTCGATTTCGAACAGCATGTGCTGGCGGCGGTTCTTGTTGACCATCACAGCGGGGTTCTTGTACAGCTCGCGAGCCATGTTCCACACGGCCAGGCTCAGCCCCAAAGAAAGCATGGCGAACAGCGGGTACAGGGCCCTCAGCTCGGGCTTGAACCTGGACACATCAACAAAGTGCAAGCACGTTAGCCGCAGCACTGGCTGCCGTCTAGCAAATTCCCACCTAAACACGGGCTTTAGACGGCAGAGACGTAATTACCAGCCACTCAGCCGGCCCTGCTGGTGCAGCGGTCCGCCAGGGTGCTCCCCGGGAGGGCGCTTCTTGGCGCCGAGCGCACGGATCTCCGCGTCCGACATGGTCATCGTCTCCACGTTCTCCATCGACGCGCGCACCGTCGCGCCGGGCGGACGCGCGGCGGGAGAGCTGGTGGCGATGCCGCGCCGGCAGGCGACGGCGAAGTTGGACGAAGAGGATGAGGTTCCAGGTGCCAGGTGATGAATGGTCAGGTTCGGGCGCGTGACGCAGGTGTTAGCCGCAGCGGCAGCAGAGCGTGAGGTGTTTGGCACAGGAGACGCGCCAAGGGCGGATGAGAAGTAGGAACGACCGGCAAGGACGATTACCCTGGCGGCCTGTCGCATGCCATTCTACAAGGAGGGGTCATACGTAGAAAAACAGAAAAAAAACCGTCGGATGCGTACAGTAAGCAATTTCGTTCCAACAAACAGCAGCGAGGTCTCCTGACCGTGAGACACAACAACGGCAACAACGCTGCTGAGATTCGTACTCACTTGCTTCGATGACATCATGGTGACGGGGTGAACCCAAACCCAGGCAGCCTGACTTCCGGTGCTGGGCAAGGCAGTTACTAGTCTTTCTATCAGCAGACGAGGCGCTGAGAAGACGCTGAAGAGACGCTTAGAAGACGACGATGAAGAAAGGCTTCGAGTGTGCTAAACTGTCGACCCAAAGAGCGACGCTCAACTTTCCCAAAGCAACCCTGCTGTGACAGTTCCATCCTTTCCACGCACATCACAGCAGGAACAGCAGTATGGAGGAAAAGCTGGTCGTCCCCTAGCGGCTCGACTGTGCATGGGAAGGACACGCTATCGGCGCGCATAAGATTAATTCCCTTCCTGAGTTCTGCTGGGCGCGCAATACCGCCATGACCGCTGCTGGCTCTGCCGCGTGGAAAGCAATCCTTGCATGCAAGGCAGAGCTTGGGTCCTCAAAATGTAAAACTTTGACGGCTTTGAGCGGTTTAGTATGGTTCTTTTGATTTCCAGAGGTCATAACTTGTGATTGAATTTGAGGCTTTGAAATGCTCCAAAGTACACATGCATGTGACAAGTACGCGCTACAGTCAATAGCATTTATCCACCCGTAATGTGTTATCTCTTTCATGTTATCAACAATAACTGTAAGTAGAGCTTCACAGGCACACCGCCAAAACTGATGCAGGAATACTATGCATACCCCTAAAGTAGACGAACAAAAAAGGAAATGAAAATGCAGATCCTATGTCCGTTAAGAAATTTGGAGGCCATGTGGGGTAACAAGTTCAGGAAGACAGGGAGACGAAATGGAATAAGTCCAGAAGGGGGGATCGTGTGACCTGCATGGAAGAAACAGCTGAGGTGGCGAAACAGTAAACAAACCAAGCCACCATGATCCCTGCAGAGCCTCAGCGTCGCTAGTTACCTTGGCTCCAATTGCCAGCTTGTAAGTAGCTCAAGCATATGGAGCCTTATGCATTCTTCCTGCCGTGCCTCCTCTGGCTCTACTAACAGGTACATGATGATGACACTAGAACTCCCAATATTCTGTGCATAAAATGCAAGCTCCGCTGCCACCATCCATTCCCACCCTTCTCTCAAACTCTCGCCTTACTCCATCCTCCACTTTCCCCTTGCCACCGGCCTGCTCCTGTATGCCTGTCGCATCAATGGCCCCCCTTTTGCAGAACCCAGTAAACCCTTCAGCCTGTAGGCCTGCACTTCGATCCCTCCCCTCTCCCCCGCCCTGCTGCCCACGCCCCTTCCAGTTATCTACCTGCTCAGCCCTTTTATCCCCTCAGAGCACCAATCCAACCACCACACACTCCTCCCTCCTGCCATCCGCTTCCGCTCCATACACACCTCGTGCATAGGCTGCTTCTTCCTCTCTTTCAGTCTCTCACAGCCCTCCGCTGCATCAAACCCCTGCTGCCGCCACGCTGCCACCACCATCACCACCCAGCACCCCACTCACTCCCCATACGCTTTCTTCAAACACCTCACCATACACCTCCCAAACAAGCTTCAAAGCGCCGCCTCAAAACAACCTCTCTGTCCTGCTCCCTTTCGTGCACGCGCATGCCAACTACCCACTCGTCAGAAAAGCTGGAAGCCCACCACCTCCCCGAGCAGAATCACCGCCCCAAACGCGATAGCCATGAGCGCGGCAACCCACGAGAGCCCCTTGGTGAACCCCGGAACCCTCTCCTTGAGCGCGCTGCTGCACGATCCTATGAACGCCGTGTAGCTGCCCATCGCCAGCACCGTGCCCAGCAGGAACAGCACCAGGAACGCCGCCCCCGCCGCTCTCGACGGCATGGCCAGCGCCGGGAGGACGACGAGTAGTGCGTCCGGCTGAAGCCCATGCACCACGCCTGTCACGAACGTCGCGATTCCGAAGTGCGCTTTCGGCCCCGCCAGCGACGCGCTCCCCCCGCCAGCCCCCCCTGCCGCCGCGAGCGCCGCTTCCCCCTCCCCCTCCCCGCGCGCGACGGCCGCGAGCTCCTCCTCCGTGGCGTGCTGCGCCTCGTAGATCCCCAGCGCGCCGATGGCCAGCAGCGTGGCGCCCACAATGCGAGAGCCCCACACGCGCAGCAGGTCGAGGTGGAGCTTATCCTTGAGCAGCAGGAACAGCACGCCGAACATCACCTGCCCCGCGTCGTGCCCGCACCCCCACAGCGCGCCGATCACCGCCGACTGCACGCGGTTGCGCCCGATGGTGAGCGGCGCGAGCGCCGCGAGATGGTCTGGGCCCGTGAGCGTGTGTAGGCACCCCGCGACGAGCCCCGTCCACCCCGCGCGCACGATCTCCGACCAGTGCCCCGCCGCTATCGCCGCGGCTGATGCGCCGGTGGCGGTGGTGGCGCCGGCGAAGTTGGTGGCGGGTGCGGCGGTAAAGGCGAAGGAGGGCGGCGGCCGGATGCAAAAGAGCGCCGTAGCTGCTGCTGCTGCTGCACACGCGAGAGCGAACTTGACCTGATGGGTGTGCGGAGAGAGGCGATGGGGAGAAGAGGAAAAGGGTGGTTGGGGGAGGGGGAGGGGGAGGGGGAGGGGGAGGGGGGAGAGTGGAGCGGGGGTATGGAAGAAAGGTAGGAGGGTGAGCAGGAGGCGGGATGGCGTACATGCGAGCTCACGAAGCCGTGATAGCATGCGACGGCTGCAACCGACACACTGTGCATGCATGCATGGACATGGGGCAGCGCGTACACGCCCACATGCCTTAAGAATCATGAGGGGAGAGGCGAGGTGAGGTGAGGCGCATGAGACCGAAACGCACACGGGAACATGTCAACTCGCAGAGAAGTGACCTGGAAAGCGAAGGGATTGATTCCCGCTCTAGGACTCGTGCGGCGGTCGACCTAGGGACAGAGCTTTGGCGCTCGGCGTCCAGAAGCAAGCTCGTAACCATACTCGGTGCGAGTGCGTTGTGTGCGCATCTGCATGTTTGAGATGCGTGCTATTAATTTGTGCTATTAACGGGCTCTGCGAATCGTATCATCAGCAAGCCAGGGTGTCGCCAGTCAAGAAGCATGAGAGGGGGAAATCCAAACGAAGAGCTGCAATGCAGACTAGAGGACGCGTGGCAAGCATGGACAGATTATGGCAGAAACGAGTGGAAATGGAGATATAAACACTTTAAAGGACGGAAAAAGAGAAGAGAGGGGAAGGGAGAGCGGGAGTGGGGGGGGAGAGCGAGGAGGGAAGAGGGGGGGAGATGCATATATGAGCTAAAGGGCGCACAGCGATCGGCGATCGGAAGAAAACAAAGAGGCTTCCATGGAGGGTGACGGTTGCGGAAGCGAGAGGGAGAGTTAGAAGGTGCACGCAGTAAGGCAAAAAACGTACTCGTTTAAAGTCAGCGCAGTAGAGCTGCGCTGCGGCAACGGCCTCCCTCGCCACTCGTTGAATGGCCTCCAGCGGCACGCGCTGGGGTTGCCTGCACGCGCGGGGGGAGATGGGAAAAGAGAAAATGTGGAGAAGGGGGGAAAGGGAAAGAAGGAGGGATGCAAGTCTTGAGGAAGCAAGCCTAAACGTCTGAATTGCGATCCAACTACGGTGGTGCAGAAGGAGAGAAGCACAATCAGTGGTCAGACATTCAAAAAGCAATCCGTACTAAGCAAGTGAGGGCAAAAGTGGTTGGTTGGTTGCGCAAATCAGCTTATAGGTCTACTTTGGATTAGTTCGTGAAGGTCATGTGAATATCAGTGAGTAATTATGATTTGCTTCAAAGTGGTAAGAGGGTCTTGACATTAATCTGAAGAACATTCGGGATCAGGGTTTAAGAGCTCCAACCTCAAATCCCCCCCCTCCCCACCCTCCCCCAACCCTCTCCCCACCAACGAAAAACTAGGCAGTTCGAAACTCTCGGCCTGTACTCACCTTAACGAAACCCGGACGGTCTGCTTGGTCTCAGACTGTTGTTCATGATCCGCTGGTTGAGAATCCTGCGCTTCACTCGCCGCTGCTCTCACTCGAGAAGCCGCGCGTTGCGATGGCGATGCAGATGCATGCCCTCCTACCCGCGAACTCTTGGACACAGCGGCAGCAGAGGCAGCTGCATTCGCTACGGCTGGCCATGAGCCGTGGAGGAACGGCGATCGCAGTGAGAGGGACGCGACGGGGCGAGCAGACGAGGAGGCCAAGGACCTCGATGAGAGAGGCGAGCTGGCTTCGCTCAGAGCGGACGACGATCGCAGCGCTAGCGATCCATGCGCTGTGAGTGTCGCCATGGATCGGCTACTTTTGAAGGGGAATGGAAGTGGGTCGAGTTAGCGACCCTGGGAGGGACACGTCGCCGCGTGATGTTTATTCACACCGCGAACCGTCACTTCGTGTGACGAAAGCGGTGGTATCCGAGGCAGCTCTCAGCTGCCAGCATAAGGAACTAACTCTGGTCTAGCAGCACGGAAAACGCACTTCTGAATACCTTACTCTCACGTACGGAGCAGTTCCGTTATGTGCTTTTCAGTGTACAGCACTGGTGGATCATGCATGTTCACTAGGAGCAGTGAACCAACAGCAGCAGTTGATGAGGGAGGTACGAATCTGACGTGTACGGAGCCGATCAGCTGAGATGGCACGGTAGACGATAGGATGACGTGGAGGGGGGTGGGGAATTTGGTCTTACGAAAAGGAAGGGGGAAATGTACTCTAGCGGCGCATGGGCAACACTGCAGTGGAAATGACCCTTGCAACCGAGTCGCGATGAGAGATTGGGTTGGGTTGGGTTGGGTTCCCCGAACAGAAAACGCGCGCGCGGGGTAAGAGGAGGAAGGGAGCTGGCGGAAAGGTCACTCTTAGTCGTGATGAGCACGTGGCCCAGTCAGCGTCGAGATTGACGCGTGGATTGCTGTTGGCTGGACGAAGCGGATGTGCAGAGATAATGCGCTGAGATTCTGCGTGCCACGTGGCTTTATCGTTCCCTAGCTCCCCTCACAAAGTGTACTTAGGCAGCTCTTTCAAATCCTTATCCTAAATCAACCAAATCAGTCATTTATTTACAAAGAGGGTGATGCTTTCAGCGTTTCAAGTGGAGGTTTTCAGGGAGTGGGACAGCTGCTTGGAAAATGTTTTTTAGCATATTTTACCACCTGGTAATCGGGAGCATGACCCTGGTCGGTGCAGCGATGGAGGTGAGATTTAAAACTTTGAATCAGATTTCATAAAACAACGCTTATTTTGATAGCAACCATATATTATGTCCTTCGTGCCCTTAGTGAAAACATGTAATGCAGGGCATATATTTATATCGCTTTCCGAGCTAATGTGTGGTGATGACTACGATGTCTGCACGTCCGCTGCTCGTAATCACGCTTTCTGTAAGGAAAATTCATTTTCCTTACTTCGCGTCCCCGCTCAACGCGTACACCACTGTAGCCCCACAGTCAGCACCGTTACCACTCGCAACTCTCGCATCGACAATCCTCCCGCCACCTTCGCACGTCGCACCCCGACCTCACGGCTCGGCGGGTAACCCGCGCTCCGGGCCTCCGCCTCGACACTTTTCCCAACCTCAGTCCCAGGCCCGTCACGCGACAACCACAGTCCATTACCGTTACCACTATAGTTTCGCTATATATTCTTCGCTCATGCCTTCGCTCATTTGTACTTTTACTTCGATAGTGCAATTCTCGCTCGCTCACTCAATTGCACTCGTAACACTTGGTATCAGAGCCTACGATCTCTTCTCGGACCGCACCCACACCTTCGCTTCCCCACTATCTCAATTTTTGGGAGGGGTAGACGTCTCTCAGCGACACAGCACCGCCGCTCGTAGTGCTCTCTCGTAAGCACGCACGGCCACGACCGAGGCTCTCGCTGAGCTCGCCCGACACCCCCGCCATGGCCGAATTCACGCTCGCAACATTGACGCAGAAGCAGCTCGACCGTCTGGTGCGCCAACTTGAAGATTCGGCGCTCGAAATTGCGACGCTCACGGCGGAACGTGACTCCGCGCGTCAGCAATCAACGGTGAACACTCCAGCGCCACCACACGCACCGACAAATGCATCTGCACAATCGGACGAGCCGATCGTCATTTCGTCCGGCACACCAACACAAAACAACAGCGTGGGACAGCGCTCAGGCGCAGCCAGTGATGGCACCGCCCAGCCGATGCCTGGCATGGGAGGAAACAGGGTCACACCAAGCCCGCGGGAGCCTCGCGAAGCCCGTCGGCACGTGGAGTTCGCGGCGACAAGTGGCGAACAGGCCATTATGGCACCAATGCCACTCAAGCCGCAACGCCCGACCTGCTTCGACCCGAGCCAGCGTGGAGGTCCGACGGTTCAATCGTGGGTCTTCACGATGAACGTCTTCTTCGACGCGAATTACGTCGAGTCGGACGCAACGAAGATTCGTATGCCGTTTCGCTGCTAAGGGGCCCCGCCATGGACTGGTGGCGAGTCATCGTGACGTCGCCACGCGCCTACGAGCCACCGTCGCAAGAGGAAGGGCCCACGGGTCCAGCTGTCACCTGGAGTTCATTCTGCGAGACCGCCCAATACAGCACGTGGGATGCGTGGTGCGCAGGGCTTCGGGCGCACTTCGAGCCGATCGCGGCTTCTATTTCGGCGCGTCAGATATTGCGCACTTGGCGGCAGCTCGGGTCGGTTCAAGACTATACGAGCGGTTTTCTCGCATTATGTGAGCAGGTCGGCTACATGCACGAAGCGGAGCGGGTGGACCGTTACGTCGGAGGGCTGAAGCCGGACATCTCGCACGAAATTATGCTACGCGGGCTCTCGAACTTCAACGAGATTCTCGCGCTCGCCGAGAAAATCGACATTTTACGCCGTCCGAGACCGGGGTCGTACTACGGACATCGTCCTCGGGGACCGACCGAGCACGCCACGGTACACGCCGTTGCGATGAACGCAGCTGTCGCGCCGTTTAAGGGGCACTGTTTTGCTTGCAATAGGCCGGGCCATCGCAAGAGTGAATGCCCAGAGGAGCTAAGGCGCCGCGGAGCAGAGCAGGGGAGGGAGTCTCCAAGGCAGGGAAACGCCAGCAGTCAGTAGGAATCGGGTCAACTACTGACGAGACTGCCTGCTCGCCCAACCCCACCGACCCTCACCGAGTCACAGTACCGATTCATGCTATCGATTGGACTCGGACGAATAAGGAGGGTACAGCGACGGATTGCCCGATACTGAACCACGGGAAAATACAGGGAGCAGCAGTGAAGATTTTTATCGACGGAGGAGCAAGTCACAGTTTAGTTAATACCGCAACCGCACGGAAACTGCAACTGACACTTAGCCGTTGCTTACCTGAGATAGACGCACGCTTAGTTGACGGCACGCCGCTGGCCATACGGGAGAAGGTGGAAAGAGTAAAAGTTCGCTGCGGGGGAAATTTCGGGTTTACACAGGAAATGCTCGCGACGACACTGGATGGGCACGACATTTTACTGGGACGTGATTGGCTGCGACGATACAACCCGAGAATTGACTGGACGACAGGAAGCTGCACTGTGCGAAGTAGTGGTAACTGGATCGAACTACCTCGCTCGCAGTCGCCTGAGTCTTCAACGGTCCACGTCAACGCCATCTCGATGAAACGGGCAGTCGCCGCTGGAGCTGACGTGTATGCAGTGGACATTGCCGTAGTAGAAGAAGCAGAGCAGCCGAGCGATTTTCAGAAACTGTTAGCAGCAGTACCGCCCGAACTACAGGAACTGTTGAAACGATACCCCAGGATTTTTCCGGACGACTTACCAGAAGGACTGCCACCTCAGCGGGCACATGACCACCGCATAGAATTAGAACTGGGGGCACAACCAACTGGACAGCGACAATTCCGACTGACACAGCCAGAGCTCGACGAACTAAGGAAGCAGTTAGATTACCTGTTAGAGAAAAAAATCATCCGACCGAGTTCGTCACCGTTCGCCGCACCAATACTGTTCACACCGAAAAAAGACGGGGGTTTTCGCATGTGTATCGACTACAGAGCACTGAACAGGGTAACAGTCAAGTGGCGATACCCCATTCCCCGCGCCGACGAACTGATCGACCAACTGCGAACAGCACGGGTTTTTTCGAAAATAGATTTAAGGGGAGGTTACCATCAGATTAGGGTCGAACCATCGGACTGTGCCAAAACAGCTTTCAGGACTCGGTACGGGTCGTTCGAGTACACTGTGATGCCATTCGGGCTGACCAACGCACCGGCGACTTTCCGGATGACCATGAACGAGGCGTTTAGGCCGCTTTTAGATAAATGCGTGATAGTTTACCTCGACGACATCCTCGTCTACAGTCGCGACAAGCAGCAGCACTTAGCAGATCTGGAAGCAGTATTTAAGATTTTAGACGAGCATCGGCTACTGACAAAGGGTTCCAAGTGCGAGTTCTTTCAGGACAGGTTAGAGTTTTTGGGGCACGTTATTTCGGCGACTGGGGTCGAAATTGACCCAAGGAAGTTAGACACGGTAAAAGCCTGGCACCCCCCGACGAATATTACGGAACTGCAGAGTTTCTTAGGATTCGTAAACTACGTGCGTCGGTTCGTCCCCGACAGGGCACGGTTGACGTCGCCACTGACGGATTTATTACGGAAGGGGGTCGCTTTTACGTGGGAGGAGAAAGAGCATGCTGCCTTCTCTGCCCTGAAAACTGTTCTCTGTTCACCGCCCTTTCTGCGAATCGCTGACCCACACCGCCCATTCGAAGTAGTTACTGACGCCAGCGACATCGCCATCGGAGCCGTACTGTGTGAAAATAACGAGGAATGAATGCACTGGGAAACAGATGGGTACAATTAGGAAAACCTAAAAGTGTTGTACCCCATATTGTCTACCCCACTACAGCCTACACATACTATAGCATATAAGTTTGACACACCCCCATAGGCAAAGTGGGGGAGAACAAGAGGTCACAAGACCAGTCAAGCAAAGCAAAGCAGGCTCAGGGTGGATCACAACGTCACCACACATTCCGAGCACAACTTCAAGGCCACAAGGCCAGTTCACATGCAAGATCATATATAAAGGTAAACAAGCAAGTGCAGGTATAGATAGATCACAGTACAAGCAAGGTCAAGAAGTGAGCAAGTGAGGCCAAGTAGGCACAAGACCTAGCATCGTACAGCAGCGCTGATGATCACAAGGCGGAAGTGCCTTGGTAAAGATATCAGCAGTGTTGGCCTGAGAGGCCACATAAGCAAGGCGCAGCTGACCACGCTACTGCAGCTCATGAGCAAGGAAGTAACGAAGAGCAATGTGCTT